TGTTAAGAGCAGTTGGACAGGTGTTACTAATAAAGTGGCCGGTGAGTGTATATCATCTCATATACTTATTACAATATTAGTCTATTAGTTCAATTAACGTAAAACACCACAGTGACATGCTTTATCTAATCAAACTATATATTTTTTAAGAACTTACTTTACAACCAAACTCTATGAGATTGGTTTGGTTGAGTTATATGAAAGATTATGTACAGTAAGAAAGCTTGAAATGAGCCCACAAACAAAATACACCCTCCTCAATATCGCAGATGTTTATTGAGATAACCGTACCACATTTCCTTCTGTAAACCATAAGTAGACTGCAGATTACCCTGAAGTATTGTTTTCATCATGGTTCAAAACTTTTTTCAAATCTTTTAGAACATTTTTGTAATCACTTAAAAGATATCTGCCAACATCATTCGTTATTTTTCTAGCTATCAGCCAGATTTTTCTTTAAGAATTAAAGCAACTCACTTTAAGCATAGTAATGCATGTTGGGGTGAGTTTTGTTTATTCAAGTTGCAAAACATCAATGAAAGATAAGATCCAAACACACTTTTCTCTTTTATTTATCCCTTTGTGCGCAGTCTGAATTAAAGCACTCCATCAAATATGTTAAAAAAAATAAATAAATAAATAAAAATTACCAAGAAAGAATGTTTTTTTATTTTTTTATTTGACAAAGTCTTGATAAAAGAGAAGGGGAGTGGTGGCCTAGTGGTTAGGGCATTGCGCTTAGAAACCAGAGGTTTCAAGTTTGAGCCCCACTCCCACAGACTGCCACTCTGATCCCTGAACAAAGACACTTAACTCCACACTGCTCCCTGGGCGCCACACAATGGCGGCCAGCTGCTCCCCAAGGGGATGGGTTAAATGCAGAGAGTTAATTTCTTTGCTCTGTATGTTTGACAATGTAATTACAATAAAAGCTGGAGAAGAGAGAAGAAAAGAGAACTCAAGGAAAGTTTGTGAAAAAGACCAGATCAGGAGTCAAAAGATGCTAATAGAGATAGATCAATACATCACCTGGTAGATATTTTTGGCCAATGTTATTTTTGTATCGGCATCGACCAATACCTGCATGAGTTAATAAATTCATAAGCATTAAGCAGGCATGCTTCAAAATAGGTCTACCACTCCCCTCATTTGCTATCCATTGTTTTTATGTGTGTATTAATCTTTTTTTGTTTGATACCTGTGTAACATTAGATATAATTGTGTGATTTGTTTTGTCATATAAATGGAGGGAGAAAAGCAATAGCAGCTTAAAGAATGGGAAATAAAAAGAGAAAAAGAATAAGTGATTGGTCAAACATATCTGTGGTCTGTTGGACTTAGTTTAAAATAAATTAATTATAATCTATGTACAAAAACTGCTGTGTTACCCATCTGCCGTGATGTTTACCAGTGCTGATAAGCTCCCTTCCTGTGTAAGTTGCGATATTAATAACTTATACACACAAATACAGAAATAGAAGTATTTTTTTTAAGTTTAGTTCATCTTTAGAAAATATTGTGTGTTTGAAACATTTTATCATCCATGTTTTCACTGTCAGTGTACGTAAAAAAAAAAAAACAAATACACTTGACAGTATCTTTAAATCAACTTTTCATCTGTTTTACAACACTGTCCTCCACACCCAAGCCCTCTACAGAGCACAACAAACTTCTACTGTTAGAGAAACACTTGACCAGCTTTGTGCTCAAACAGTAAACACCTCACATTTGCACTTCCCTGGTCTTCCTTTGCACTATCAACTGCCATATCTCAACAAACCCCAACAGGAAGCAGGTCAAACTAAACTGGAACAAAGGCCAGTGAGTGGGAACGGACACATCTGGGGGATGAGTTATAAACGAGCCACCAGAGCTCAGGAACAAACCCTCGCAGCAGCATCAAACGTGATTAAAGCACAGTCACACGCTTGGACACGTGTAACTGTACAGCGAGGTATTTAAACAAAGAGTGCAGTGGGCTGCCAACATAACAAACACAGAAACACACACAAGTTAAGTTAAGAATAAATCCGTCAAACTCAAATTAATCAACATGACACCCACAGCTAGGAGTTCAGATCTAACTCAGCATAGATAAAGTCGGCGCACCTTTAGACTTCCTCCTACCTTTTATTGTTCATGTGACCAACAATAAATCAACCCTCACAGCTGTTAGATCATACCTTCAAGCCACCTTTAATAATGTTTTTTTTTTTACATTACATTCCCTCTAATGATTAAAGCGTAAAAGGGACAAGTTAACGGGAAATTAAACGCAGTATGTCTTCATAGAAACGTTTTTAACGTCTAAAGAAGAACGCGGCTAGCTTAGTTTTAGCAACAATAAAACCCCTGACAACTCCATATTCTAACTGACAGAGGAGTAACTGTTGGGATATTTTGGCCTGGTTTGTTGTTTCGAACTAATTCAGGTAAACAAAGACGGAATTGTAGACTGGTTTAAGTCTCCTAGTGGCCTGTGTGTGCTTAGCTTGCGAAAAAAAAGACAAAAAAAAAAGACTCACCAACGTAAAGGTTAACAGCGGTTAGCCCTCCTCTCCCCCAGTTCACATTCGAGACATTAAAAGCAGTTTTAAAGACGACTCCCGCTCACTAAGTATGAAAAATAAAGGTAGAATGGAGGTTTTTAGCCGTCGAGGTCCCGTCTCCCTGCTCCGTCACTCCTTGTCCTCTTCTACTCGCCAGCTCTTTATTTTAGGTGAGCGGAAACACACACTGGCGGCTGTGAGAACTCCACAGGGCTGCCTGCCCTTGCTCTCGAGCGGTCTCCATGGATACCTCTGTAGTGGGCGGTCCTACAGCGCGTCGTTGCGCTTCAAAATAAAAGCTCAAGGGTGAGATTTTGAGACAAAGGAACAAAAAACTCCACGAAATGGAATTAGGAACAAACAAAGAAATGCAGCTCATCTCTTTAAATACGAACGATTATTTGGGGGAAAGAACCGTGATATAAAATCAAAAGCTTAAACCCAAACGTAACCCTTTTAATAAGCAATTATAAGAGAATAAAATTAAAGGGTTTTTAAAAAATCCAAATGAAGTTAAAAAGAGGATACATTATGCTGAAACAGATCAACTTTTCTATTGAAAAATTCCAATTAAACACTAAGGTAAAGAAACATCTGTTTAGATGTCAGGGAACCAGTTCTAAAGATTCCCATAAGCCTCAACACAAGAAACACAAGCAACTGTTGTTAGGATACTTTAGGAGACTTTTTACGACAGCTGATAAAGATAGGTAAAACGATCTGATAAAGATCTACGG